AATACTGAAGCGCATGTCAGGCATGTGAGAAAAGGCTGTCTGACTGAGGAACGCAGCCCTTTTCTGTATTTCTCTGATGTGACTGTAGGAGTCTGCTTTAAGGTTTGAAATGTTTTATAAATGTAAATGAGGATCTTCAAAGGGAACTGACCCAATTCTGATACTAAAGCAAGATTATGTAACGTTTTAAAGATTAAAAAAAACACACCCTTCCACATGTTAAGTTGAATTCTCAAGCAATAATTTAGTACAATCAAGACTTGTGTGTAAGTGGCTAATGTGACCTATGTAACTGACATTATGGAATCAGTTCCCTGAATTAAAGGAATAGTTTGACATTTTGGGATTCACTTTCTTGCTGTTAGTTAGATGAGAATATTGACAATACTCATATTTTTGTCCAGCAAATATGAGGCAACAGCCAGCTTCCAGTTAGCTTCCAGTAAGCTTAGCGTAGCAAGAATGGAGATTGGGGGAAATAGCTAGGCTGATAACAAAAACCTTCCAGCACTTCTGAAGTTAACAAGCTTGTACTAACCCATACAACAATCAAAGTGTATTAACCACAAATTGTGCCAGACCAGATCCACAAATTCTCATTTTTAAAACTTTTATACAGTTTCTGTAAAACTGAGCTAATCTAACCTACAGTAGCTTCGTCTTTACTGCACAGACATGAGAGCGGTATCAATCTTCTATATTTCCTCGCAACAAGAAAGTGAATAAGCATTCTTCTCAAAATGTCTAACTATTATACTATGCTGTTGCATTCGTTATTATCCTGTCATGTGCTAGTTCCTGTTCATTGTTGCCACGGTGGCCGGTGTTCAGCAAGAATCACAGCGTCATCTCAACAGGGAAAGAGCACAAAACAAATTTTAGCTGCTTATTTTATGAATTTATTTCCAAATGTAAACTTCACTATTTCATGCATACAAGTTATGACAACATACATTATTCAACAATCTGTTATTTTTCATATTTGCATAGGACATGGTCACAATATATTGTCTAACATGTAAAAAATAATGCCATAAAAAGGTACAGCAGAGCAGCTAAGACCAGCACATTAAAAGTGTGTAGAATCCAAGGAACTGTACAACTGTAATACTTGAATGTAGTGATTTTGGTTTGCTGAGAGAAAAAACAAAATGACACCTGAAGGTTAGAGTGAGGTCATTGAAGAATGTACTGGCCATAGCTGAGTCGAGAGTTATTTACAGATTAGATTTTATTGGTGCCGAGAGGGAGAGCAGCACCATGGAGTCACTACAACAGGCAACTGATGGTGATGGGCAGAGGAGAAACACACAGAGGTATCCAGAGAGCAACATTACACTGAGGAGGTACATCGAGGACAAACAGGTACAGGAAACAGAATCAAACGGCCCTTTGTAATCAAAGGGAGGTCACTGACAGCACTTCGTGCAGCATAATTTGGAGCAGACAAATTCTTTACGGACAAAAAATTTCCAACACTTGAGTAAAAGACTTGCTTATTCAGCATGCTCTTGTTCAGTAAAGAGCAAACTGCACACAGTGTCAGTTCTGGCAGTTGAGCAAGAGCACACGGTCAGTGAAGGGTACTGACAGATATGGTCTGCTAATCCGCCATGCTGCATGTTCCCGCTGTCTTTTACTCATTCAGAATTTGTTTGCTCGTATGATTTCATGGGTTTTGTTCATTCAAGTTATTTTAAAAAATGAAAAAAACAAAAAACAAAAAAAAAAACTAGTTGCTTAATTGAGATATAGAAAAAGGTCCATAATCAAGCACAACATCCATTGATCAACCCTTACAGCACATAAAGTTGAACCCAGGGGTCCAGACTGGGGTCGGGTTCAAAATTACTGCAACATTCATCTTTCCCTTCAAAGCCTTTGGTAACAACTTGTAACTGTGGAGCCGCTGATGAGATGCACAAACTCAAAAGCTCCATCTCACTGCTCAAGAACCACTCTATCCTTTCATGGCTGTCTCTTAAACATTATTCCCGCCTGTAAAAATTGTCATGAGGGAAGACATGCTCTGTATGTCCTCAACTTTTAAATATTGCATGTACGGTGTTCAGTGGAATTGGCTTTGCCGACACAAAGACCCCCCGCAGAGAATAAAGGAGAGATTAAACCTGGGAAATGTTGACAATGAGAAACGTACCTTGTGCACAACTCACAACGTGTAAAACCTCACAGTCAAGACAGACTTCTATTCATTACCTACAAAAATGCATCGGGTCGATGTAAGCAGCACATTTATAGCAAATGCAATTTTCAATCCTTTGGAATGGTTGGGCGTTCATTATCATTAAGATTGTTTATGTCAAAAATACCTGTAATAAGCCATTATACATCGCTTGAGTATTGTACAGCAAAAAAAAGGAAGAGGAAGAAAAAAATTAAATAACAAAAACTAAATGAAAAACAAAGCTACACAATCAAAATGTTTACATTAAGCAGAAAAGAAATATTTAACTTAGAACACTTGCATATCAGATATGCAGAGTTGCTTCATTAAATCCTGTACATAACATAAAAACATGTCACACTTTATAAAACTGTACAAGTTTGTTAAATGTCCGATAAGAGCTAGTTTTTTTTAAATCTTTTTATCCTCAACCTCTGTGTCGTCTTTATGAAGTTACCATTATGGTTTTGGCACACAATTGCATCAATCATGCTTTTACAATGAGATCAGTCACAAAGATTTCAGCTGAGATGGTCTCATCAGTGATATATTCATGTCATTAATAATGAATTTTTTAAATAAGATTAATGTTAGTTCTTTACATACTAGGCAACAATCAATTCTCGTTAATGTATTGTACAATTAGAAGAAGAAAATATTGACTGGTACGCTGTTAGCATCTTGTAGAAACCTTGTATATCCATTTTGTCATTGTTTAAAGTCCTTGTCGAAATCTGTAATCTGACTGGGATTACAATCGTGAAGTTGGATTAAAAAATGCTGAAATGCCAAAAGAGTTTCAGACCAATTTACAGTTGACAACATCCCTAACATGAGAAATATTTAAACCAAGACAAATATGTGGAGCTCAATAGGGAAGGGATGGTTTAAACATTTTTGTAACATAAAATAATAAAAATATGCTCTCATATTTTCCCCGGAAAGATTACCTTTTCCATCTACAAGGATGTGCAGGACCCTGACAACATGGGATGATTATATAAAATGTAGCCCAGTGTTTTTGTTTTGTTTTTGTTTTTTTTTGTTTTTTTACAGAAAAAAGTCTCTCTTTCTTTCCTTCTTCATTCAAGTAGGGACAAACAAAACCACCAGTTATTTGTGCTACTCATCAAGCAAATGTAAGCTACATGATGGATGCTTTGAAAAGATATGAAGGTACAACAAAAGTCAAATATTTCGAGAGGTATGATTTTTGAAAAATATACAAGCTTTAACATTTTATATGAGACAAAAAAAAAGCAATAATAAAAATCATGACTACATTGCTAACTCACAATGCTGTGGTCTCTATTCTTATGGAAAACTTTCAAAAGAATCTAAATAATAAAGAAAAGAAGTCACTCCATCAGAAATCGACATACATAGAGGTCAGGAAGGTTCCTTTTTCTTATCGCGACCCCAAACAATCCTTTCACTTTCTGACCTGGAGGAATTTTGGATAACAGGCTGACTGGAATAACCTGCATCCTGACATCAACAGAGTATTAAGTGTTTCTGATTAAAGGGGTGAACCCCAATGAGCGGGGTTAAAATGATGTTATTTTAAGCAATAATGGTGCCTTTAAACAGCCCGGCGAAAACAGTCAACCTTAATGCTGTGATAAATTCAAAAGAACTGCTGAAATGACCTGAAGACAATGGAAACTCTAGAAAAAAAAAAAAAAACACAAAACAAAAGAACAGATTATACACCTTTCTCCAGAGAGGTTAATAATTATTTGACAACAAAAGCAAGTACAGTAAAAATGGACATGTACAAAACTGTGTTCAATGGCCTTTTGTGTTGAATTATTCAAGTAGATTTGGTACAGTGAGAATAAAAGTTATGAGACTCTGCCTGTGGAGGCCTATATGTCACTGGAGCAGTCTGGATGGATGGATAGACTGGGATGTTTACACTGTCGCAGTCAGTTTGTTTTCAGATGGTTGGAGCTTCCTGTCGCCTACTGTACAGTAAGTCCACCGACACTAATGGTCAAGGGTCTTTAAAGGGGCAGTTCACTTCACTGAAAACAGCGTCCAGAGTGCCCAGTGCTTACTAAGGCGTATAGCAGGACTGTTGAATGTTATGAGGACATACTAGGCAGGAGCTGGGCCCGTACAGAGGCGTTCCTGTGTTTCCAGTGTGGTCGGACACTGACCAGCAGTGAGCACTAAGCACCCAGGAACACCGTGGGAGGCTGGCAGACATTTGTGTGCAGCAAACTGATGTTAAAACAAAATCCACAAACTGTCCCATATCTGCTTTGCGGATGTCGACCCTGAGGTAAATGTGCAGATTATGGATTAAGAAGTGATTCATGAAACCTGCTTGAGGGTGAGCCACTCAGATTTTTTTTTTTTTTCTGCAAGAGAAAGTTACACTACAAACCAAGTCAAAAATTGACTATAATAATTTAAAAAAAAGCCATGGATAGAATAGATACCACAAAAAGCTGCTCAACAGCAATTTGAAGAACTTGTTTCTTGAAAATCAAAGTTTTATTTTTTTCAGAAATGGTAAAACCCTCTCAGTGCTTCTTCCACTGAGAGCTGCTTATCAGTGGCATTCAAAGTGTCATCTTGCAGCCGGGAAACTTACTTTACATCTCACAGAGGGTTGTTTTTTTTGTTTTTTTTTAACATGTGGTGTTTTTGAGGAAACTACTGCATTCGATCTAAATAAGCGATGTTTTCTTTCTGGAGGATGTGACAGAGCTGATTCTTCACAACTTTAAAGAGAGATGGCTGCTGCAGAGACCGGGGGGGTGGGTGGGAGTGGGGGTGGGGGGAGTGGGGGGGGGACAAGGCCTGCCATTCATGAATTTACACCTGCCAGACCGCCTCGAAAACCCCTCTACACTCTCGGGCCCAAGTTGTTAACATGCACATAGTGTGAAGCGCGAGACTGCAGGGTGAGAGAGTCCGACAACTTGTTGGTAAGATGAAGCTAGCACATGCAATTCATGATGACAACGGTCTGGAGGGGTCTGACAGAACCACACTACATGGTTGAAACTATTTCCAACCATAGCGCTGGAGCATTAAAAGAAAATGTAGGCATAACACAGACTGGCGGGGCTGCAGCAGTTTTGATAGTGGTGCCCGTTTCCATGGAAGGTTTACTGTGCCTTTTGCCTGACTTATTGAGGCATGTCTGTCTAGAAAACACAAGTCAGCTTTCTCACGGGACATCTGAGCTTCACAGGCAGGACAACGTGAGGCTGGTGAGCACTGCACTTTGCTGATATGTTCATTTTGGTTCAGATGTTTTTACAACAGTTTAAAAGCCCCCCTTGTTGTGAGAGAGAAGTTTGAAAGCAGCTGTTTTGAGCGCTTGGGTTCATTTGGTGAGAATTTGGAGCGACGTTTTCCTTGGCATTGTGAAATCTGACTCTCCGGCATGGAGTAGTGGATTTCTCCCTGTGCTTAGGATGGAGTTGGGTACATCCCACCCACACTGCCAGCATTGTCTAGGTAGTACTGTTGTTCATACACTTCTCTTTCTACTCTTATCCTACAGGTTGGATCAAACCACTAATTACAGCCATTTTTCCACTCACAGTTCCTACAGTTGGAGGGAGGAAGGGAGTTGGGGGAAGGAGGAGAAGGAGGAGGAGGAGACGAGGGGGAGGGGGGGGGTGTCTGCGGCTGGGTGTCTCCTCCTCTGTGCTGCTCAGCTCATGATAAACCTCTCCTCTTTTATCAGGACCTGCCCCCTCTTGCCTGTCTTTTGCAGATAGCTGCTTTGTTCACTCTGTGCTCCACCATGTTGCAGCCCAGCCCAACGCTCTGCCCCACACTCTGGCCTACGTTTGACTCCCAAAATTAGGTGACCTTATGCAATTTGGCAGGTTTCGGAGCATCACCGCTCTCTGACGGGACAGGTAGAGCCAGAGGAGCGAGGGAGGACTCCCCGGGAATGGCATGTTCGCACTCCTCCTCCTGCGGGCTGTGAATAGCTTCTTGTGGGATGCAGCTGTTTCCTCCAGGGAGGCCACAAAAGGCAGAGGCAGGAGGAGGGAAGTGAGCGGGCTGTCTGGCTCTACCTGTGATACTGCCAACCACCAGCCCCAGGCCTCAATGAAGGGCGGCTTACAAGACTGAGTAGAAAGCTTTCTTTCACTCTTGTCTTTGGTACTTTTTCCTATGTGCTTGCGAGATGGATAAACATTGTTTCAACTAAAGTCCCTTTGTGTCCACTTTGTGTGAAATACTGGCTGATGATACAGCACTTTTTATTTTTAAAAAAGAAGCATGAACAGCTGCTTTGAAACTTAACTGTCTCTATTTAAAGGTTCTAAAGTTTCTTCAACTGAGTATATTTATAAAAACTGTTCACCCAATATAATCCCGATCCTCCCACAGTGCAGATTTACACAGTATATACTGCACACTGCTGTTTAATGAAGTACATATTTAACCCAGTGTAATGGCAACTGAATATTAACATTGCAGTGGAGGAACAGATGTATTTTGTTTACTGAGGCGAGGGTTTGGGGACCGATTTCATAACACACAGCATTTACATTACATATGAATCCCCAGAACACAAGGGAGAACAGAACCGGAGTTTTGTGTACGATTGACCGTGTGACCGTAGGGCTAGTTTCCTCGAGTGTGAAAACCAACAAAAAACAAAGAGTGCAAATTGTGTTGAGTGTAAGGCTGCTATATATGTACTGTATGTTTCTCTTCACCGTGTTCATTCTTTCAAGCTAACAAGGCCATCCCTGAGCAGGGCGTAAAATTCAACCCCTGTTGAATTTCAGAGTAAAGTGATGAGTATATTGTGCAGTCAATGTGAGTACTGTTAAGTACTGTGGTATTACAGAAATAGCAACTGTCTTCAATCCTGAGGTGTGTGTGTACCCCTTCTCCTCACCTGTTCAGAAAAATAAAGAAAAACAAACAAACAAAAAAAAAAAAGAATTTTTTTGATAAGACTTGTCAGGGTGTCTTTTCTTTTTCTTCCAAACCTTGTTTAGCTGACTGCGAACGTACATTGGACAACTAGCCATCATCAGAAGCTAAAAAAATACAGACATATGGTACAGAATGTAAATATTGCCATCTGGGAAAGGCATTACCTTCTTTTAGGATCACACAAGTAATTGCACTACAATAAGCAGTTATGTACAGTATGGTACACCACAGCAAGCGCAGGAATAGCAAAGGGGGGTTGCTGACAACTGTGCAACACAAGTGTTATGACAAAAACACAGGCCTCACAGGTCGGAGGCGGAAAGTGCGACTGGGTTTCAGTTTAAGGCGAGTTGGCTGGGCTGAGGGTGGGGCTGAGGGTGGGGCTGGAGGCATCTGAGCGGCTGTAGTCGCTGAGGGAGCTGGGACGTGTTGTGTTGCCGCTGCTGCCGCTGCTGCCGTGAGGCCTCTTCAGCATGCCGGGCTGGAAATCTGAGTGGCGCCGGGCGTGCTTCATCAGGTGGTCGCTGCGCATGAAGCGCTTGTCACAAAGCGGGCACCCGAACTTCTTCTCCCCCGTGTGGGTGCGGTAATGGCGGGCCAGCTCATCGGAGCGAGCGAACTTCTTACTGCAGTCTGGCCAGGTACATGGGAAAGGCCGTTCTCCTGCAAAACAGAAGAGGAAGGAGAGATGCCGGTGTATTATCACACAATAAAACACAAGACAATAGCAGCATGGCTTGAAGGCCCGTTTATCAGCACTACAGATCATGTGTACTTAACATTCTTTCTTTTCTTTTTAATCCCTGAATGTGTTTTCCAGGCCTTCCAAGCAGCCATTGTTTCCCACTGATTTTAGTCTGATACAAAAATAAACTTATAAATACTGTACTATGATGAATTTCCTATTTCAAGGTCTTCACATGCAAGTTTTAACACTGTACCAGAATAAATGGGAGTCAGTGGCTGCTTGAAAGGTTTAAACAAGACAATCAAACTGCAATTCAACTCAACTGTTCTTGAGAGAACGGCGAGCAGGAATGTAGAGTACATGTGATTTGTATTAAATGGGCCAAAACATGCTCAATCCACCTTAAATACTTTAGTTTTCACCACAGTGTACAATGGGAATCACATAGCGTTTTCAGAAATACTGATAGTGTCAGTGAGTGTAACATGAAACAAATGAAACTCATTGATGCGTTCTTAGTTTCGCACTCTAATCGCAAAACTGCCACCATAGTTAGAGCAGTGACTCATTATGAGATGTTTAGAGGTTAACAAGTCATGTGCACTGCCAGGCACAGTAAGCAGACATATTCCAAAGACAGGTCCTGCTGAACAAGACTGTGCTGTTTTGTGTATATAGTTGACTCTGAGTCATCAAGGAATAACAATTACAAGGTTACAGCTGGGCCTGATGGGTCAGTGAGGTGAGGGGAAGGATATCAAAAACCACCCAAGACATCTTCAAAATATTTAAGAAAAATGTGAGACAAGGCGGCTGTCAGGAGCCGTGGGACTCGGGGTAAATCACCTAAAAATTGGCACTGTGCCGAAGGAGCAGACACAGTTTAATTATCTGAGCTCCAGATGCTAATCACACTCACAATGGTTGCCCAGCCCATTTTCCAACATGCAACTATCTGTGACTCGGCACATGGGAAATTACACCCTCCCCCCTTCCATCAGGCAATAAAAGTGGGCTTTGACACAAATATACCCAAAGCCAGATGGTACTATATATCTTGTGGTTTCCTTCCATTCTGATGTGGAAACAGCGTGCATGGAGCCTACATGTAGCGTTCTGCATCCAGTGGCCAATGTGTCTAATACTGTATTCATTTAGTTCCATTTCACTGAGTTTCTGCCTGACAATAGCTACATCCAGAATTCTAATTTTACCAGCGTGACCTTGCAGCACTATAGCGAAGGGCAGGATGTATTCTTTTAATGTTATGATTTTTCCCTGACAATAAGAATGATGCATCTTCTTTTAAGCCTATATGCCGAGGATTCTAGGTATGAAAAGGAATAGGCGGTGAGATGCGTTAATGTTTACTGGTGGCATGACAAATGAGCACGTAAGAGCAGGCCTGCCAAATACTTTCTTTGTTCTGTGGCTTCCCTCAGGGCCACAATGGAAACAGTGCTGTTCAGCATCAAACAGTCATATGCTACCTGATGCCAGGGAGTCTCAAAAACAAGAACTCAGTGCACAACTAGTCTCGGCAACCCCACCACCCCCACCCCCTATACTGCATGGTTACAAAACATGCAGACAGACAGAGCAAGTCTAGACAGCCCAGTCTGTGTTCCTGCCTCTGACGCCTCACCTCAGCTCCAGACAAACTCAGTCAGCCCTGCCCACTACAGTTCCTCAGGGTTCATACAGAGCTCAGTGTATGTAAACTCTGTAACCGACATATAGACATTTGCATATTGCCCACAGCCTTGTCTCCTTTTTTTTTTGTCAAATCTCTACACTGTTCTTACTCTCCTGCTAAAGTTCACACAAAATAAACACATCTATCTTGTCCTGCATGGCATTAAGAGTTACAATATTTATTTGACCCTGTTTTATATATCCTGGATTACATCCTCCTTGAAGCATAGCTCCAGCAGAAAGGGGAGGCAGTGTAACTTTTAGGGCAATTATCTCTTTGAAGACCTTCACGATAGTCTGATTTCATACCTTATTAGCAAGAGAAGCAGCCTCTGTTGCCACCTGGCACTGCAAAATGAGTTACTGGCTAAAAAAGAAGAGCTAAGCTCTGCAGGCTGCTTAAGGCTAAATAACCAGTGTAACGGATCCAACAACATTAATATTTAACTAGACACCAGAGAGCTAGGCTGAGATATCCAGTCTAACGGCCCTTATACAGAAATGCAGTCATAGTGGAAGCATCAGGTATCCAACATCAACTCACCTATCCAATTATATAGAGCTCCATGACTTCTTAGAAAATGCAGTATTAAGCTGATACACTGCCTATTTTCACCTCATGCTAAACTGCTTTTGGCATTTAGGTCAACAATATAAATATGCATTAAAATCCTGCTGCTTTAATGTAAGCCTTAGAAGATTCACTTGCATAAAGAAAAAAAAAAAACATGCAATTCCCCAATTGATTGTTGCGCTTGTTTCATAACATGAGGATTGGGAGGTTTAAGGAACAAAGACTTTGATCCTGAGTGGAAACAATGATAGGGGCTATTACCCCGTTGTGGTAGGAAGATGTCACTCTCCAAGATATTTTCAATAGACTGCAGCTATTACTCAGCATCTCTGATGAAAAAAAAGAAGAATGCAGCAAGCTACTCCCCTTACCCTGCTGCTCTTCCCATCTAGTCCCAGTGTTGTCACGGCAGGGCCGACGCCAGGCCCCACCGATTGGTTATCCCATCTCTGGCGGAGCGCCACATCCAGGGTGTGGTTTGTCTTTCTCAGAAAGTGTCAGTTGCAAAAGGCGAGGTGAAGTGGGGGTGGGTGGGGTGGGGGCGTAATGAGGGAAGCTTTTCCCTAACGAACACAGTGACCCAGTTACCCGTAAAGTGAGTTACATCATGCACGCAAACTGTACCTCTGCTAAGCACTAGTGTCCCCCCTCCAAGGCGATGAGATTATGTCACAGGTACTCTTGTTATATAATTGTTCTCTCTGAGGCCACTGGGTCAGTAAATAAACAGCTCATCTCTGCTCCTCTCCCCCCATCCTCCTCTCATTCATATCTAAGAAGTTTGTACTCCTTGGTTTCTGCAGAAATGGCTACGAGAAATGGAATCTGTCTCCCCAGTGTAAAGAGATGCTGTCTGTGAAGCCGAGATCAAATCTCTTTTTGACGTGAGCAGCAACTCAGAAACTCAACTCGGTCACCTGCTCCAACAACAGCAACCAGCATTTCAAACGAGAGTAGATAACATTCCTGGTGTGTCCTCAGGCATGGGCCAAACTCACACAGTGTACAGCTAAAACCTCTATGTGATTCTGTCATAAGAGAGCTTGAGCAAATAGCTCTGCAGGGTGAGAAAGGCGAAAAAAAAACACAGCTCCTGTGGATACATCGGAGATAACCTTGAAGTTAACTTTGTTCTGCCTGCACAGTGAGAACCAGAACAGGAAATATCTTTTACAGAACTCAGAACAACAACAAGGTGCACGCAGAAACCTGTATGGACTTTTACGAGTAAACAGCCAGACAAAGGGAAAGTAGGGCTGCAGTCAGAGTGTAGATCACAGCTCATTAGAGTTGGAGCTACCTCACTTCAGTGCTGGCTTTGTGGCACAGCCAGCTTGGCATCATGAAATGAGAGGGACACCACTAACTCCAGTGGTAGGGCTCAGCACAATCCTGTAATTTGGTTGCATGTTTACAACAGTCTATGACCTGTAACCAACCAGGAGCCAGCTACGCTGCCAGGAGACATCCATTCATGGGATTTTGGGTAATACTAAAATGACTGCTGAGTCCCTGATCAGCATAAACCACTGGAGCAGACAGGGTTAACCCAACTGTGGCCAGCCTCTCCCTCCACACGCACCATTACATACCAAGATGAAATAAACACAAGCATGTGTGTGCAGAACAATAAATATACATTAAGCCTTTTGCAGCTTTTGCCTCTTTTCATTGTTCACACAGCAGTATACATGCAGGCTTCGCTGGTGCAAAAATAACAACAAAGGCTCTCAAAGTTCTGCGGTCTGTAGAAAAGAAAAAAAAACAAAACACGCTGCTTGATTTGAAACACATCTGAGATCAGAACAACTGTTTACGTGGCTGTTTGTCTATGAAAAATTGACTCAGTGGGAGAGGAGTCAAATTACAGAGAAAATCAGTCAGTCAAAACATGTTTTCACCAAAGCTCCATTCAGAATCTGTCGCAAACAAGAATATGTCGTCTCTGCAGGAGCAACAAAAGACCCTTGGGTGGGTCAGGTACTCGTGATGAGGATCGGCTCAAACTTGTCAGGAGAAAGCTCTGAAAACAGGGAGCATTTGATCTATTATCATCTTTTGTCTTTATTGTGAGGGACCTTGCTTGACGTTGAATAGTCGGGCTCCCCTTGTGGGCCTATAGCTGTCAGGTTGTGAACAATAGCAGCAGCCTCGCTCCCAGCGGGAGAGGCACTCCTGTAATGCATTTCAATCAGACAGGCTGTGCGTACTAACCGTAACTCACTCCCCTTGGTCTGCACTGCACAGGGCTATTGACATTCACCCGGAGACATGCAGCGGGGGTCGAGTGTGACTGTCTGATTCCTGCACACACTTAGCCATACATTACTTCATCCCCTTAACTCTTTAAGGGAAAAGCCGGGATAGCTCGCCTGCATTGACCAGCTCATCACATTTGCCTCAATTAGTTAGAGTGGGCACTCTCTTTCAGCCTTGAGTGCATGCTGAAACAACCTGCAGCCTTGATGTGTTGCAGGCAGTCTCCTTATCTTTTAAACCCTGGTTAAGTAAGGAAATGCAAACAGCTGCAGCCATTAATGGCTGTTTACAGTTGGTCCGTATGAGCAGGTGGGAGCAGGGATGCCCCATCATCCGTGACTCTCACTCACACAGTACAATGTCAGCTCATTCCACTGATGGAGTCTGACACTATAGCTCACATGAGATAGACATACTTACTACCCAGTGCCAAACAAAGAGCCATAG